GAGCAATGATCTACATTCCGTAAAGCTAATTGGTGAACTTAACAGTCCCAACTGATAACACGCTCATCAGTCAACACAATCTGTAAAGCATGAGCGATTAATGATTTTCGGGATTGATTCATCTAACGTATGTAGTGAGCGGCAGCAGTTATACTGAACGTCGAAAGTCACGTATTTGAACCCCGTCATAACTGTCTAACAGTCCCCATTTTGTTTTAATACGCGAAAGCTGTTTGATCACTTGCGATGTATTATTTGTACAACCCTGTATATCAGAAAAGGATGTCAGAGAATGATAGAAAAATACCTATCTTACCAGGTTAGAACAGCGGTACCCGAAATATGCTAGCCTCAAGTCCATTTCATTGTATATAACGGTTTGACAGAGGCGTAGAAAATGTCGTTCGTAAGAGTTTTTGAGTGATTTGTTGGTAATGTGTGTCTCTCTATCACACTAGTCATATACCACATCGTTTATATTCCGTGCATTTGAGCCCCACTCTCTCCTGTTAAACTTGCTTTAAATGCTACATTCAGGTGATAAAGTGATTGTGGCTGTAGGCGGTCAGAAAAAGCGAGGCTGGATTGTGGGAACACGACAGGCCTCACGAGACGGCTGGCCCCGATTCGAGTCCAACAACATTGTGCTTGTTGACGATGAGGGCAATCCACTGGGCACACGAATTCTGGTTCCTATCCCGGCGAAACTGCGCAGCCTTCCTGGGGATATTAGCAAAATCCTGTCTATCGCGACTCATTTTGTATAGAACGATCTTTTTACTCATTTCACGGCTCCCCCTCTCAGTCCTTATTCACATGTGTCTAGAATGAAAAAGAAGCTTCAATAAATTTGCACAAGTGAATCAGTGGCGCTAGTTTTTTTCTCATTTTTTGGCACAGAACAGAAGAAACATATTTGAGTGATAGTTGTTGGCTTTAAGGACAAAAAAGGATACACTGGATCACAGATAGTCAGTTATTGGTCGTTCGAGCCAATTCATGAACGATGCCGATGCACGCGGATCTTGCAGTTGGCCGGGCAAGCGTCCAACAAGATTTGTTGAGTGTTCGGTCTGCAAACGGAGAAGAAAAATCATGTTACACAGTTGTGTGATGTAACAGGTTCATAGTATCGACAGCTTACCCTAACCTACCTATTGTACAACATCACTACGATCAAATCATTTGATACGATTTTGATCGAAAAAAACGGTATCCTGAAAATAATCAACCGACAGGAAGGTCCAGATAGGAATAATTTTTTTTCTACACTATCCGACGGACAAGTGGTCAGGCAGAATATAGATTATGAATGCAAGTTGTACTGTGGAATATCTTTACGGTGTAGAAAGAAGGTAAGTCGCATGTACATACAAAGATGAACTTGTTTCTATCGAGGGTATACCGCACTGGGGAATGGATAAACTCAAGTACGATCACCGTGGTTTGCCCGCCCATATAAACGGTTCGGCAGTCAAGTTGATGTAAAATGAGCGGTATTCACCCAAATTGCGTGGACAGTATCACTGATATTAGTTTGCTGTCAAGTACCTCTTGACGGTTTCGCTCCACCTAGGTAAACAGATTTTTGGTGGTGATCGCGATCAGTTGTAAATCGAACGGTTCATATATCGTACTTGTTCGAATCAGTCAACCGTTCCAAACCAACGTGGTTGCTTATCTATCTATTGAGAGCACACATACAGCCAATCCATCAAGCCTGCTGCACAGAACACCCATATCATCAATGGTTCGCTATCTGTTGCAGACTGGCCACCAGACCGAGCGCGAGATTTCGTTTCGGGTTGTTAACACAGTCTCGCATGGACGGCTGCTAAGATTTGAAGAGGCCATAGCAATCAAGCGCCGAAAACCCCTGCTTTGTCAGCAAAGGTCTACATTAGTCTGGCATTGTCTTGGTAACCCCGTAAGCGTGAACTAATGTCATGCTAAATTATCGACACCTGTGTCATATAAGCTGCTTTGTATTCTGTATTAAGCACCAGCTGAGCGAAATGATTCCGGAATTAAATCGTGCTCGCTTGTAGAGTTGTGTTCTTTGTTCAAGTTTATTTTGAGAAGCAGTTCCTTTAATAATATTTTTTGGTCGCAGTTGGTTCTCACAATATAACTTTACATGATGAGTTCATCGTGTGGATGAGCTGAAAAGCTGGGGAGCACTGGACAACTGTTTCGACCTTCATCGGAAGTGCGAAACCATCGATCCAAATGGGAATTGAAACCACTTTGCATATACACGATATAGCACAATCTCTGCGGGTATCGGTCCTCGTTCGCCTCAAAAATGAGAAACGGTCTGATAAGCTGCCCGGTGACCCAGTGGGCAATATGCTTGCGCTCTGCCTATAGGGTTGAGTCGATGGATTCGCACTGATGCTAAGACCCAACCAGGTCGAACAGCTGTCCAATGCTTCCATGATTTTCAACTGACGACGAATTTATCACATGAACAAATTAAATCCTTCATTACTCATACAATATTGTTTTTACTTCCCCTTGATTTACGAGAAACATGAATATAGGAAGGGACTACAGCCAAATAAGATCTGTCCAGGGGCATTAGTTAAAAGTGTGAATGCGTGTCGGTGACAGGTTTCGACCACAACACATGGAGGGTGCTGTTTAGTGTTTACTCGGCTTTCGTCGTCCCATCACCATTGTGTGATGAATGACAGACGGTAAACCCTATGGTCCGGAATACTGACTGTTCACTCGAGAGAACCAGTAACCGAAGCTGTGAGACTTGAAGTGCTGAAATACGCAAAGCCCAGCAGGGTTGGAGCTCTCGATCATAAGGCCCAAAGCATATCAGTTAAAGCCATTTGGCCACCACGTCATCACCGGTAAAAATTCCGCAGAGACGGGCTATGTAACTCATTAGCTTCCATTTTCAAGTCACCTGTTTAAGAGTTCCATATGCAAGCGGTCAGCAATATTTCATGATAATTTAACAAACTAGATGACACTAACAAGCTTAATACAAACGCCTGATTGTTGTGTTGGATGGCCAAAAAGAGATTAGATGACGCCTATCTGGCGAAGTACGATTCGTTATGCAGCCATTCCCGGAGAATGAGTGTATAATTCTGAGTAGCAAGATAAACACAAGAAGCATGTTCTACACCGGATGGGCAAACGACATTAGTTTTAATCCAAAATTACGTTCTTGTAAACGATACAGATGAGAACAAAAAGAGAAAAACTTACGGTAGATCGGTCACTGACAGTCTGTTCAGACCTGGCAACTGGTGCAAAGCGTCCACTAGCGCTTCGAAATAACGGTTATTGGTGACTTGAGAGCCCAAATCCAAATCGATCAGTCTGGTGCACTGCCCCAGGCGACGAATTCCATCACAGATACGCAGTTGGACATCTCCCTGTTCTGTGTTTGACAGTGGTCGTAGAGGTAGACTGAGTTGAGTCAGTGTAGCCGTGGGCAAGGAGGATAAAATGAAGGCCATGATATCGGGGTCGTTGTAAAACCAAGCGAAGTTGCAACCGGACAGAGAGATTTCGGTTAACGGGAAACCGGAAGCTGAAAGCCAAACGAGAAGAAAAAGGTCGTTTGACTAATCGAATAGCAATACGGAGAAAAGAGTGATGAAGGAACTATGGCTTCTTGTGGTTCATGTTTATACAGAATATTGTATATCGCATACCTGTCTGAGGCCAGACTGTGTGCAAACAAATCACAGTGCCATAATCTTCATGAAACGAAAAATGACTACATGATTTGTATGTGGGCGGAATACTACCAGGTTTCCAGGTTTGCCAATGGCACGTGAATTTTCTTGGGGAATTCACAAACGGAACCTTTAACAAAGCCATGTCTGACCCGCTAGGCAGTGGGGCGAAATGAGAAAACCGTAGTCTGCGGATCGGATCATACATCCTTAGGGACGGGGTTCAACGCGCGGTGACTAATTTGTTCTCCATCGCGGATTCTCTGCCCACTTCTATTTAAAATGGTTTCACTGACCAGATTGCGATGATCTCCAGTGCTGCGTATCCACCGAAATAGACGTTGACTACTCCGTGATGCTGAGGCTACTTCTATTTCACTGTCTATTTTGGCCTACTAGTTTTCGCAGTCTTCAGTTGACTTTGCGAGCGACACCGGTTCCCGTGTTGATCCTTACAGATTTGGATCTTCGGCTCTTGTTCCATCAGGTTTATTGACTCCCGAGAGATTCAGTGGGTCGGTTGGCATGTGCCGACATCTGGCGACGTCGCGACATCCAGCTGTTCGTGAAGGGTTGATTGTATGCTGTGTTGGTAGTTCGGCCAGTTCTGCTATACGGAGCAGAAATTTGGCCATTAAGAAAGCAGGATAAAAATTGACTGTCGGTGTTTGAATACCGCTGTCTACGCAGCATTGCACGAATCTGGTGGGGCAGCCGGACGAGCAATATTAAGGTTAGCGCGGTCGTCCAATGGAGTAAGGGGTTGGCTTTCATATATTACGTCGGTCGGGGTCTGTTACTCATGTCACGAAATAGGTTGCCACACCGCGCGATGTTCGCCGAGGCAGGTAATGGGTGGAAAAAAGCCAATGGGGTTCAGGCTAAGACCTGGTACGGGGGTATGAAAGCCCTAACCAGGAGACTCGGTCATGTAGGTCCAATTAGGCTCCCTGTCTGGGAACCACGGGATGATCGTGCTCGAAGGTTAGATACACTGAATGATATGGCTGAGTGTCGTAAGCCGTAGCGTTCGTGCATTTTCTCAATTTCTTTGCAGCCATAGTATACTGGAGTTCTCTATTTTCTCTTCGACTTTACTTTCAATCTAGCTATCATTCTTCTCCTGCTTCATCCAAACGGGCAGCCAAAAGACAGCAACCAAAAAACGGTGCACAAAAATGCGTGATCACTGGTTGGTGCAGAGTGAAATTGGAAGCTGAGTGTTTTTGACGAACTTCCAGCTTGGTACTACAAGCAGTTTGTTGCCAAATGCATCGCACGTCTGATCTGATCCCATTCTCGATCTACTCCGCCACCTAACGATGCTCTTAGCTCCTCTTAGTTCAGAAGGCACAAGTCGCTTTCGCAGTGAATGTCAGAATGAAGCTCATGAGCACTTACACCGTAGGAACAAGTTGGAAAATCAATGAAACACAGGAGGAATTTGACTTGTAATGTTCGCTTGTTGTGGCGATATTCATTCTGCGGCACTTTAGCATTCGTGTTACATTTCATGTATAATTTTGTATTGATTACTTAAACAATCGCAATCCGTTTGCACTTAGCAACGCTCCCCTCCCTCATCGCCTCAAGTCTAATCAAGAACATTGTATTTCTGATGTTGGAACGTCTTTCATTCCTGTGAATAAAGTTTAGAGAAAAGAGTTGTATCTCACGTGACAAACGCTTAGATTGTTTGTTTCACACGAAGATCCACCCCACCGAGCCCACATACAACAAAAGTATCACCAGTTAGGTTGCAAACTGGAAGTGTATTCAGAGAAAGTAACTCACAGAAAAAGCGTCGTAGTATGGCGCCATCCAACGAGGAGATTGTTACCAAACCATCTAATCGAGATATTGGATGACCTATGCGTCAAATGGGCGAGGGAGGTAAAATGAAAAAAAAAATAGTACAGTAATCAATAAAATCCATCCCACTGTGATTGATGAACAAACAATTAAGCATAAATTAATATGTATATAGACCAAAGAGATGCATCATTTCAAACTGAGATCACTGGGCGACGTTTGAGCACTTTGTGTGTCTAGTTCGATTTGACGGTAACCAAGGAAAAGGGTCATCATGAGTTCGGTTTTTTTCGAGGCGAAAAACGTCGCCTCTTCACATGTGGATAACGGTATTAGTTTCCTAAGCGATACCGTTGAGACAGCATACTGCTTCGGCTAGACCTCCGGCACGGGGGTTACGCAGTGCGATGTTGTCAACAGAGCACAGATCGATTCGCTCAGCGGGACAATTCACACTCACCAAGTGGTGAGCATGTGTTAAACAAACTTGATATTTTCCCTAGCTTTAAATCGGAACTGCACCTCGTTTCAGTTTCATGAGGACAGTGTTTTCATTCTGGTACATGGATGAGGCCAGAAATAGAGAGACGAATAAAGAATACTCAGAGTTATTTACTCATTCGTTCGATCTTTAAGATAACTCAGAATGTAAGGAGAGAGTTCGACGGACCAAGGGAGATTAAACACGTGCAGAAGTAGTTTTTGAGGCACACAGAGGGAGGGTTGTGCAGACGACTTCCCGTCACCTGTTGAAAGCACACGAGAGTGAACCTATCTCGACAGTCGACCACAATCAGTACAAAAGGGGGCGGCAGACGCTCCAATAACGCTAGTAGTGAGTTTCAGATAGATGTGAAACCAGTGCACTAGAAAGTGATTTATTCGTCCCGATGTTCAGAGACACGCCGNGGGTGGGATTTCAGTGGTTAGCTGTCACAAAAAACCAACCTTCTAGTTGATCGAAAAATTTGGACAAAATCAACTGTTCACACTGTCCGATATGCAACGAGCGGAGACCGGACCGATTGTTTGGGTTTACAGGATCCCGAATCACGTTGGGTAGCACGGTGATCGGTAGATTGTGCAACAGTGCACAGCCGGACACGTCCAATTTCACCAGGTATTTTAATGGTTGCACCGGAGTGATGGGGCTTTCTCCAGTGATCTGAATGTAAGAAGGAACACACGGGGAAGAGATGATTAAAAGAAAT